CGGTAACCGGCACGATTCGGCGGCGACTGGGCGCACGCGACCGCGGTGTGTTGTATGTAGTATTGTGCGCTGCCCGCTATACGAATTCGGCTGGAGCCTCCTCCTCCAGTCCCTTCGAAGGATGGGCCAAGGCTCGAGCGCCTCACCAGGGACATCCGTATAGCTCGCGGATAAAGCGTTAAACATCGCGCCAGCCTTTTCGTACACCGTACACCGCTCGGTCTACTGGCGCATTTGCTGCTGCTGCTTGGTGGGCAGAGGTCTATGTCCCGGGGTACGGCCGGATACGGTACACCTGGGTACGGGTTGCGGTATTTATTCGCCGGAACGTCCGCGGCACTAGTATATGGGACGGCGTCGGTACTCCGCCACTCCACTAACGAGTGTAAGGGAGTCGCCTACCGCCTTGACTTCCCTAAGCTGCCGAACACTACTCCCTACCCTCCGTCTCACGTCTCACACATTCTATAACCCAACCACTCAATCAATGCTCCCTACCCGTACCTAACAATCATCAATGCACCGTACGTCCGGCTACTTCAGACTGCACCACCTTCTCACCCTCCTCCTCCGTCCCAGGCAGCTCACCTTACGCCTCCGCTCCTCCCTCCTCTACCTCCTCCGCAACTTCTCCTTCCGCCACCACCTCTTCCTCCTTCTTCTCTACTGCAGCTTCTCCCCTCCTCTACTTCTCCCGCATTCACGTGTCGCTATCTCTCCATATCTAGCTCCTCTCATCCCGACCAATGTTCAATCCCCTGGGGACAAAGACTTCTAGAAAGCGCGTTGCTTGTTCGCAGCTCATGTCTCGACGCTCCTCCTCGGTTCACGGTAGGCGCGAGTTATTTGTTGCTGGGCGTGCTGCTTTGGCAGCAGTACTCTCAGCATATTACTACGTGTAAAAACTGGGCCAGCGGTACTCCTCTACCTCCTCACCTCCCATCGCCACGTGCTGCCGTTAGATTATTCGCGCGCCAGACGAAATTTTTTTTCCAACGGTAATAAATAGAAAGAATAAGCGCCTTCTGATTGGTTGCTTCAGATTTTCTTATAATATGATTATATAAGATTATATGTTTATATTTTTATATGAAGTATGTTTAGGTTAGGTTAGGGGTTAGAGTTAGGGTTAGAGGTAAGGGTTAGTGTTAAGTAGGTACACTTCTGTAGTAAAGTCTGGTAGCACTTTGTGTATAACGTATATGTACTCGGGTAAACATCTGGCAGGCTTGAAACTAACGCTCGCCCGCTCGCGCCGAGCTAGTAGAATCAGTAGGCTGTAGAATGTCTGTCTGACCAGCCCTGTTGGCGAGTGGAATGCCTACCAGATAACATATTATAGTATTTTCCGAGAAACTATACCCGCCCGAATAGTAATAAGTATATAAATTTGGGCGTGTGCAAACATAATAATTGCAAAGCTAAAGCTTAACACAGTCCAAGTTCCTCAGAAATAAAAATCGTCCAACACAATGCTGCTCTATTCACAGGCATGGCCAATCCTTCACAGTGTATATATAGCGAGACGTTTATGTTCTACTTTCTGTTTACGTTCGTCGGAACCGTTAGTTTAAGCTTAGTTTACGTTTGCCAGCTGACCTAGGTTACACACAATCCCTCTTTTTTCAAAACGAAGATTATTCATTTGACGTTCTAAATATCAAATTAGAAACTCAAATTTACTTATAGCGGAGTTGGAATCACCGTGGTTACTTACATCCAGTCTCTGTGTCTATAATTACGTGGAATAGTAGTCTCGGTTTGATCAGGTACTGTTATGAAATAACCTCTTAAACCTACATTGCTGTAATTGGTATTCTCGAGCCTTTTTATCATACGATGTTCTCCTAACACTAGATAACACGCTTCTATGTGGCTTATATCAGTAACTAAGCAATCAAATTAATTATACAAAT